AGGAGCGGACTAGTTTACTAAGATCGATCTACGAGACGCCTTCTATACTATCCGTATAGCGAAAGGCGAGGAATATAAGACTATATTTAGGACGCGCTACGGACTATACGAGTTCCTCGTTATACTAATAGGATTAATAAATGCGCCGGCATCCTACTAGGATCTCGTTAACGAGACCCTCCGAGACTTACTCGACGTATATATTATCGCCTATATAGACGATATTCTCGTCTATACTAAAGGAGAACTCGGTAGCTATATTAAATAAGTCTAGGACGTCTTCTAGCGACTTATAAACGTTAAATTTAAGATAGTACCTAAGAAATACGAGTTCTATAAAAAGGAGGTTAAATTCCTTAGGTTTATTATTAGCATAAAAGGAATCCGCATCGACCCTAAAAAGACGGAGTTAATCTATAGCTAGCTACTACTTAAGAACGTTAAGGATATATAATCGTTCCTTAGACTAGCTAACTATAACCGGAAATTTATTAAGGACTACTCTAAGATCGCGAAACTACTTATAGAGCTTACGAAGAAAGATAATAAATAGACCTARACAACCTAATATTAGACGGCTTTCTAGAYACTAAAGGACYTATATRYATCTATACCGAYACTTTAGCTCTTCGAYATTACGAAGGAGGTAATTATCGAGACTAATACTTCCGATATAGTAATAGGAGCGTAYCTTATATAAGARCACGATAGAAGTAGGCACCTAGTAGCCTACTATTCTAGAAAGATAAYAYCYRTAGAAGAGAATTACGATATATATAATAAGGAACTTCTTAYRATTGTCGTAGTACTACTATACTAGAGAGTTTATACGGAAGGAGCACCTAAGCTTACGATTCTTTCTAATTATAAGAATCTAACTTACTTTACTAYRACGAAGTYRCTAACCCGAAGGYAGGCCCGCTAGTCGGAGCTRCTTAGTTAGTATAAGTTCGAAATCCGGTATACTCTAGGAAAGGATAAYRGTCGAGCCGACGTACTAAGCCGACGAAGTAACTATATAGACGGGAAGGAACCCGTACGATAACGAGTACTAAAGGCGAATCCTAACGGRAGCCTTAGTTTAGACTTAAAGGAATTTAAYTATATTATAYAAGTRCTATAGGATACYRAAGAAYAGTTCCCTATTAGYTAAGGMAAATACTAGGTCCCKAAGGACCGAGAAGAAGARTRCATYCGATAATAYTATAACTATCCGTAATACGGACACCTAGGAACGACTAAGACGGTAGAACTTATCTAGAGAAGTTTTAGCTTTCCGCAAATGCGCTAGCGCGTTCTTAAATACATTAAACGCTACGAACATTACTAACGAAATAAAGCTAAACGACACGCTAAGTATAGGTACATTTAGTTTAGGACACTACTAAAGCAACTCTAGGACGAAGTTACGATAGACTTTATAACTAAACTACCGATTTTAGAAGATCGAGCTACTAAGGTTAACTACGATATAATACTCGTTATAGTTAATCGACTTACTAAATATGCACATTTTATTTCTGCTAGTAAAACTTTTACTATAGAGTAGCTCGGACACCTTATTATAGATAGACTTATTCGATACTACGGATTCCCTAAGGTCTTTATTACTAATAGAGATAAGCTCTTTACCTCTAACTACTAGAAGATACTTATCGGAACCCTCGGAATTAAATATAAGCTATCGATAGTATACTACCCCGAGATAGATAGACAAACGGAGCGAATAAATTAGACACTAGAATAATACCTCCGGTACTACGTTAATTACGCATAAGATAACTAGGCCGCACTACTGCTAATAGCACAACTCGCGCTTAATAACTAGCAATCGGATACGACGAAAACTACGCTATTCTTTTTAAACTATAGTCGAAACCCGAACCTTTTCGGAGAACCTTTATTATACCCGTAGGCCGAACGGGCTATAATTGTATCTAAGGACCTTAAGAATCTCTATACGGAACTAGAAAATAGGATCCTAGATTCGTAAAAGACTATAGCTACGCCGCGAAACGCTAAACGAAAAATAGCACCTTAGCTAAAGAAGGGGGATAAGGTCTACCTCTTTATAAAAAACCTAAAGGTAAGAAGAAAGACTAAGAAATTAGATTAAGTTAAGGTCGGGCTATTTTTAATTAACGAACTACGAGGACTACTTAACTACCGCCTTAAACTAACGCCTAACGTAAAGATCTACCTAACGTTTTATATCTTATTATTAGAACCCGTAGACGCCGATACTCCGTACTAAACTACGTTTTACTTCTAGCTAGAAGAATAAGATACCTAGGAAGTCGAGAAGATCCTAGAATAACGAGGTTAGGAATATTTAGTTAAATAGAAAGGATTCGACAATTCTAAAAATACCTAGTATTATAAGAAAGACCTTAAGAGCTACCGCTAGCTTCTTAAATAGTTCTATTAGATAAGCTAGAAGTCTCCTAGAAAGGATCCGAAATACTTCTAATAACCGCCTAATTCTTAGAAGTTAGCTTAAGAACGTCGGAGAAGGTAAAGGGATTCTCTAAAACTTCTATATCCGACTCGATCTCGAAGGACAGGAAACGAGCCTCGACGGGCTTAGCCTCCTCTAACTTATTTAACTCCTTTACGATAGTATCGTCGGTACGACGCTCTATTAACTATAACTACTTTCGAAGACGCACCTTACGTATCTTTAACTTTATTTCCTCCTCTTCGATACGCTCGATATCGACACGGAGCTAGTCGCGTATATTACGCAGTTTTTCCTATTTAGGACGCGATACTTTTACGTCGTAGTCCTTATAACCTTTCCGAATATACTCGGAATACTTCCTAGACCTAGGGCCTACGATATACTTCTTCCTTAGACCTACGAGCGATTTCTTAGCCTTACGATAGTTTAAATAGGGCGCTATTTCGAATCTAGAAGCTTCGGTTTCTTCGATAAGACGAGTCCGACGTTTATAGAAGGAAGAGGACATATTTACAAATTTACGAGAAGGAAGGTTATTATAGTTAAGTAAGCTCTAGGACGGAGCTAGACTAGAAGGGGGATAGTATTACGGAATAATCCCGTAGGGACTCCCCGTAGTAATAATCCTATATAAGAAAGGCCGCTAGGGATAAATAAGATAGGGAAGGCCGTAGGACTAGTAATCTTATATAGATACGCGATATTAGGATAGAGTAGGTAGGATAGGATCGCTAGGAGCGCGACTAGGTTAGGTAATCTAGATACTAAGCCGAGCGCTCCTCCTAGTACTACTTAGACTAACTAGACGCCCTACCTAAGCGCTTAGAGCGCTCGCGCTCGGATTGCTTAGATAGCTTACCTTTATAGTTAGTATATATAGAAGCGATATAATCCCCTATAGAGCATACCGCGTATAACTTACTATTTTATCTTACTTATTAGAATAGAATATCCTACTTTACTTTACTTTACAGACTTCCTATAAGCTCTAACCCGATCCCGCCTAGCTTAGCCTTCTAGCTTAGCTTAGTAAGATTATCGAGATATTTATATCTTAATACCTAGCTCTATCCGCCGGTACTTAGTAGGAGTCCGTCGAATTCTAGCTAGTAATCGTACTATAGTTAGCTAAAGGAGTATCTAAGACTCGTAAGCTATTCTAGGGCCTTTACTCTCTCGTTACTATCCTTAAAGACTTTCTCGATCTACGCGAAGAAAGCGTCGGGATCCGTCGCTTTTACGGCTAGCCCCGCTTTCTAAAAGTAGTATATTCTCGCTCTCTCCCTAGTAGAGAGGGTATCGTAAATAGAGTTCTAGTAGTAGTCCGCGGAGAGCGTTAGCTTAAGGCCGGAACGTACTCGATAGGAGCTTTTTAGCTTAAGAAGGTAATTCCTAAAAGTATCGGCTTTACTATCCTAGGTTAGTAGTCTCTAGTCCTTTAGTCCTAACGGTTCCCGTACGGAACCCGCTTAAGTTAGCGCTAATACCGCTTCTATAAGGTTCCGTATTATTATACTTATAAGAATATCGTCATTAGATAAGCGTTCGGATTCTACGCGTTCTAGCGCGGCGCGCGTAGCGCTTATCTCGGCTTCTATAGCCTATTACTTAAGGTATATCTATTCTATAGCTCTACGTAGCTTCGTAGTAGGTTCTACGGATACTTCCCGTCCTAAACTCTCGTTATCCGAGAAGTTCCTTCTAGTATTCTAATCCGAAGGAGTAGTTATTATAAGGCGATCGAACTTAATATTACGGGCGAGTAACGTATATATAGGAGCTTAGATAAGGTTTTAATTAAATAAGTTCGATAGAGAAGAGAACTATTCTCCGCGGATTCCGACGTAAAGTACGCGGATGCTAAGCGTTCTATATAGGCTACGCCTATACTTTAGCCTTAGGGCTTCGCCTATTATACGCTTATGTATTAGGTTCTTTAGGAGCTTGTTTATACGGCGAGAGTTATACTATTCGAGGCTATATAAGTATAGCCCTTTATACTATCTACGTACTAGTTTAATTAAAACCGGCTTATTATTACCGTCTAGTTAGATTACCGCTAAAAAGGTAACCTTATACGGCTTAAGTAACTAACCGAACGACTTCTTATTCCGCGTACCTATATCGTCCTTATCTACTTAATACGTAGAGTAGCGCTTCTTAATATATTAGTAGTAGAGCTTTTACGTATAATTAGTATCCGTAGGCTCTACCGTCCGTATATAGTTCTATACGTTGCTAAGTAGCTTCTAAGCTAGTTTGAAATCCTCCGGTATAAGGACGATCTCGCTATCTAGACGAAAGTACCTATCTCGAAGGAGGGCAATATCGGATATTATTATACGTAGGTTTAATGCAAATCTTAGCACGGATTGTATTTGTTTGGAAAGATTTGTTTTAGTGTACGGACCACTACAAACAGTCGAGATCGGCAATTTCGGATAATACCCGAGTTGTTCTACATCCGGTTAGACGTTGGTGGAATACAGACCACCGCTTTCCGATCCGGTCACAAGCTTCAATCGCAAACATCAACACAATGGTCAAAGCATTATCATTCAAAGGCGATAAGAAGCCTCCGAAAAAGAGAAAGCGGACCCAAGAGGAGAACAACGATGAAGATGCATCGGCATCGAAACAGTTCAAAACAGCCGACACCGCACCCGAGGATGACGAGAACTGGGTATCAGCAGATACCGTAGACGACATTGCAGGACCAGTCGTCTTGGTCCTGGCATCTGATCCCCCATCATGTGCTGCAGTAGATCAATTGGGTAAAGTCTTCACCAGCAAGATTGAGAATATGGTGGAAAATGAGCCCTCTTCGGCAGAGCCGCATGATGTGCGACAGGTATGGATCTCGCAGAGGATCGTGGGTACGGAGAATAGTTTCACGTTCAAGGGACATCATGGAAGGTCAGTCGATTGTCACTGTTCGAAAGAATAAGGCATGTACTGATATGCGATCACAAGATACCTAGGATGCGACCAGTACGGCTACCTCTCATCAACACGTGAAGCCGTCTCGCCCGAGGAGACATTCAAATGTTCCCCATCGGAAGCCAGACCAGGACAGTTTGACATTCAAACCATGCGCTCGAAGTACCTGGCCGTAGATGATGACAAAAGCCCGGCGGAACTTCGTGGAGATGCAGAGGAACCTGGCGATACGACGGCGATGAGAATACGAATGCAGGCACGCTTCAAACCGAAGCATAAAGTGGATAAAGCGGAGAAAGTACGCGCCAAGATCAGCAGGAAAGAGTTGGAAGATGAAGTTGGGAGAAGGCTGGAAGACGATGAGGTCAAGAAATTGAAAAAGGCGCGGAGAGAAGGAAATTACCACGAGGCGATGCTGGATGTAAAAGTCAAGGGCAAACACGATAAGTTCGCATGAGGAACGGTTACAACGCTACCACATATGGAATTCTGATGTCCCGATTATCCTCCTTGAATTATCCTTAGGCTCTCGGCTGGTTATCCCAGGAACTGTTCTGACCAATTCACAATGCACGACCTTTGGTATCATCTTCAACGACGCTTTCTAAGGGAGCAGACTTGGCCTCTGTCGATGATTCTACGGCACGCGGATCACTGGGCCTGTACCTCTGGTCATCAACACGAGGATTCTGCTGAAAACGGTTCTTGGTCTGTACTCCAAGACGCTGCTTTGCTGGTGGTGTTGGGGTCGTCGGGCCATCCTCTGATTGTGTTTCCTTGAGGCTAGTCAGTCTTTCAGGCATCTTTTCGATATCGAGGTTATGATGCTCATCGAAGGCTGGACATACATGTGATTCTGGACTGCGACGCGAGTCCACTGGTGCTGTGTCTTGAGGTCTATTCTTCGGAACAAGCAGTACAGTTGACGAATCGGTTGCACTCGGACTCTGATTTTCACGTTGCTGCTGCTGCTGCTGGTGTGCTGCGGAGAGGCTTCGTGGGTCCGAACTTCTGGAGGGTCTTGTCGGGGGCTGGTAGCGAGGACGAAAGGGCATTTCGAATGTGGGATTCCTGGCGGCATATCCTTCTGGTGACACTTCTTTTCTGGAACACGACATGCACATACAAATGTCGGTTAAGATATTCCCGAAGGATGGCATGTCTGGCTCTTGTGGTGACTTTGCTTGTATGAAGGGCGAGGTTCATGCCTCCTTATTTCTGACTTATACAGTCGGACTTTCATTTTGATGGTTGTATGGAACAATCTAGCAGATTGAGAAGTTTGCCTCTTTTGATAGTGGATACAGAAAGTATGGGGTACAACCAGAGACTTCTCTCTGTCGAAAGAAAACGCTAGTGCCTGCTGTTGAAGGGGTAGACTTATATTCTGTGCAAGTATGTATGTATGCGCCTCGATGGACTGAATCTGATCTACTCGAATCGTTCTTGTCTTTGGTGATGCATTGCTAGTCGAGAACGCATCGTGGTACTCTTGCGTCGCCATACCGTGGTGAGAGCTGAATTGGGCGCGATCAGCTTGCCATCAATGATACAGCAGGTCGAGATATAATTTACAGAAACTGGACAGCTCCTGTCGTCTTGTATCTTTGTCGCAAACACGTCTCATCCGGGTGTGACATAAGGTACTGAATCTCGGTGGACCCAGGGTTTGTGCTGTCAACATCGTGGATCAACCACTGGCGTTGATCCACCGAGAGGGCCTGGATGGCTGCAATAGCCAGTTGCTGTGTTATTGGCTGCTGCAGCGTGAAATGCTTCGGCATTGTCTGGAAGATTCGTGCCGGTTCTGCGACGTGTGTGGGCAAGGGGTTAGCAAAGCGCACCAGGGCGTTCACGACTTTCTCATTGTACTGCAGTGCCTGGTGCGTACAGAAGAAGTTCTCGCCTGGGTTCGCTGCTGTCAACTTAGCGGTAACTTAATCCGATCTCTCACTTGCATCGGGGCATAATGTAAAAGCTGGCCGGGGATGTGTGCATCCATCGGTCTACCGCCGGGGTATGCAGAGAACACAGTCGGGTTGTATACCCGAGGAGAGACCTTTGGCGGGTGAGGGCCACCAGGCTGAACCGGATATTCGGTTGCCAATGCACGACAGAGTCCCGGAACATCCACAAAAGTCATGGAGAGCGAGAGGGCGGAGAGTTGGAAAGGACGGTTGTCTTAAATCTCTCCTCGCGTTTATTCCGTAGACAGCACATCTTGCAAATTTATAGGCTCGGTCGGATCCRGCGCTAGCTAAGGTACGGCGAAACGGTTAGCTTGAACATGTCTGATTTCCCGACGAATTCAAAGAGAGCGATTTGAAAAGGGCGGTTTTTCGCACTCTCACCTTGCGTGATGATGACAAAAGACAAGCTGATACATCATTTGCTCGGATCCGTCCGGCGCTAGCTAAAGTACAGAAAGGTGGATGGGCCTCTGGGTCCTTGAAGACCGGTCAACTTTTGAGAGAGCAAAAGGGCGGTCTTCGCCTCTTTTCTTGCGAGAGCGACAAGGGCGGTTTCCGCCTTCGTTTCTTGCGAGAGCGGATGTAGATCGCGGTCATCATCTTCATCTCACAAATCATTGCCATTGAGGAGTATGAGAGACGAATCGATGAGGAGACCAAGATTGGATGGCATTGAGAGGGACTGCAAGTCAAGTGGAGAGGTCATCCTCATACAGGCTTGGGGCCTCCAATACTATCTACCTATGCTACAGAGACCAGTCTCAATTATACAGCTTTGCGTTTTTGCAGTCTTTTTCTCGCTTTTCAACGGATGTATGATGATGATACAAGGAAGAAGCAGAATCCATCAAAGCAGCCGGGCCAACTCCACGCTAAAACCGTGTTCGAACATCTTCTCGTCGTTGTTATCCTCCTCCATCTCATCTCCTTCTTTACCACTCGGGGCTTGCTAAACCACCACCTCGCGATCAGCCCTCATCCCTTCCAATACAGCCTCCAGTCCGCCGGTCCTCAGCCTCTCCAACACCACCGACATGCCCTTCATGGCCTTCGGCTGACTTTTCTCCGTCCGCTGCAAACTGATCGTCTCAATGGCACTCCTCACCGCGCCGGAAGTCCAGGAAGAGAGGAAACCCTGCTTCACAGGCTGCTCATCCTCCCCACCAGCTCCAATCACAGAAGTTGCAGTAGCTTGCTGTCCCCACCTCTGGCGTCTCTTCCGAATCTGCTCTCCAATCCTGCTCTTCAACGTAACACTGATGTCCACATCGGTCCTCCCGTCTCCCGTCGCGGTAATCGTAGCACCTTCCGGCCGTGAATATCGATGTCGTTCAATCACACTCAAAACATTGTTCCAGTCCAGATTCCGACTATCAGTCTCCATCCATCCTTGTCGCACGTCCACCACACTCTTTTCCAGGATGAAGGATTGAGTGCTTCCGTCCTCACTGGCATTCGACAGACTACTTTTGGGCAAGAGTTTCAAGACGGCGGGCGGGAGGCGTGAGCGCTTGACGTGTAGACGCACGGTTGTCAGGCGTTGGGTGATGGGGTCATAGTGGCGATCGATGGTGTCGGTGGATGCGACATGACGAGAGTAAGGGTTGGGGTAGCGGAGGAAGTAGGCCAGGGCGGTTTCGCTGAAGTTGTAGTCGTAGGCGTACGATGTGCTGAAGAATTTCACCATTTTGAAGCAGATGGTGATGTGAGATGAGACATTCCCCTGGGATTGGGGAGGGTATCAAGTAGRGATGATCCTTTGATGGAAGTCGTTGATGGATGTTGATGGATGTGTTTCAGCTGGAGGGATGCGATACGATGCTTCTGACGATTGATGAGCGCACTCGGGTGCAGATGGACTTTGCACGCGACACGGAGATCGATCGTCGTTGACTGGTGGCAAGGGAATCCAAGTTTCTGCGGGGAAACACGTGACTTGTATGAAGTCAAGGATTCCATTGAATCTGGAATCTTCGGCTTTGTTTGGTGGGGTAGGAGAAGTTCGAGTCAGACGTCGTTTGGAGGGGAGCTCCATCAATATTTTGAAAGAGTCCGATACAGAAACATTCACAACACCAACACACCCACCCACACACTCATTTATTCAATCAATCTCAGTCATGGCCACGGAACAGACAATTGACCCTTACAATGTCTCGGGCGGAGTGGACGAACACGGCAACGCCAAAGCCATCGACTACGACCGTCTGATTGAGGAATTCGGCACCCAACGATTGACCCAAGACCATATCACTCGCTTTGAGAAAGTCACCGGCCGTAAAGCTCCCAAATTGATGCGACGAGGCCTCTTCTTCTCCCACCGCGACTTTGACAAGGCATTGGATTACTACGAGAAATATGGCACCTTTAWGCTCTACACCGGCCGGGGTCCATCCAGTGGCAGTGTGCATCTCGGTCACACCATTCCCTTTCTCATGACCAAGGAATTGCAGGAAATCTTTGATGTTCCGTTGGTGATAATGCTGACGGACGATGAGAAATATCTGCATGCCATGGACAAGAACAATGGGGTGAGAAAGGAAGGCTCTTCCCCCGAAGACTTCATGGCATACGCAGAGGAGAACATCAAGGACATCATCGCTCTGGGATTCGATGTGAAAAAGACCTTCATCTTCTCCGACTTCGACTACATGGGTGGCCACTTTTGGCGCAACACGATCGAATTCTCCGCCCTCATCAGCAACAACCAAGTCCGTGGTGCCTTTGGCTTCACCGGAGAGACCAACATTGGCAAGAACTTTTACGGCGCCGAGCAGTGTGTCGCCGCATTCCCCTCTTCATATCCCGAGTTGTTCGGTCTGGCAGATTACGTGCGTAAGAGAGGTCCCGAAGGAAGACGCCGCCACAAAGCCCTCTCCAAGATTCCCTGCCTCATTCCCTGCGCCATCGATCAGGAACCCTACTTTCGAATCCTCCGCGCAAACTCTGAACGCATGACGGATCCTCACCCCAAGACCTCGCTCATCCTGTCCAAGTTTCTGTCAGGACTGCAAGGCCCAACCAGCAAGATGAGTGCTTCAGACCCCAACTCCGCCATCTTCATGTCCGACACCCCAAACGAGATTAAGAAGAAGATCAACGCTTCCTTTTCCGGCGGCCGCGAAACCGTCGAGGAACAGCGGAAGTTGGGAGGCAATCCCGATGTGGACGTAGCATACGCCTACCTCTCCTACTTCCTCGAAGACGACGCCGAACTCTCCGACATTGAACAGAAATACCGCAGCGGAGAACTCCTCACCGGCGAGTTGAAGAAGCGCTGCATCGAAGAACTCCAGAAATTCGTAGCAGATTTCCAAACGCGCAGAGCACAAGTCACAGATGAAGTACTGAACAGCTTCATGGAGGATAGGAAATTGGAGTATGGAGGTAACCCGCACCCCACACATCCAGGAGAGGATCCCGCGAGTCAGGAATCTTCAGCAGCTCCCACATCCTCCACAGTCGCGGGAACGAAACTCTCGGATGGGAATGTGATTAGCAGTGGCAAGAGCGCGGAGAAGAAGGCTGCGAAATTGGCCAAGATTGCAGAGCAGAAGGCTGCCAAGGAAAAGGAGAGATTGGCCAAGGAGGCGGAGAAGCTTTCGCTGAAGGAGTAGTATACACGTGTTGAGGAGTAGCAAGCAAGCATCAAATGGAGATACCCAAAGACCAAATGCAGAGACGACTGATGAAGATCAACCTCACTTCCTTTCACATTACTCATCATCAATCATCATCATCATACAGGGTAGTACATTCTACAACTTGGAAACCTCCAACACAGCCTTTCCAAAATTTCTCCCCGCCAACATACCAATCAATCCCTCGGCAGCATTGTCCATGCCCTCGGTAACACTCATCTCGACCTTGAACTTGCCCTCTGAAATCCACTTTTGCACATTCTTCTGGTGCTCCGCCGAGTATTTCGGTCCCATGTTCGGATCCATGACCATGAACCCCTGCATCTTGATCCTCTTGGCCACAACTTGCATCAAATTGGTAACAGGATAGAGGTCCGAGGGAGGGAGGTTGTATTGAGAAATCATGCCGCAGGCGATAATACGGCCGTGGATTTTCATGGCGTTGATTGCTGCCTCGAGTTGTTCGCCGCCGACCTATCAATCCCGTTAGCAAATGATGAACTGGGACATGTTAGAGGGGGGAAGGCTCAGGAGAGAACTTACATTCTCATAGTAAATATCAATTCCCTCGGGCGCCAATCTCGCCAGAGCATCCGCTGCTTTTTCTTTCTTGTAGTTGAATCCCGCATCGAAACCCAATTCCTTGGTGATAAAGTCCAATTTCTTGTCGTCGCCTACACTGCCAATCACGGTCAAGCCCTCGTGTTTCGCGACTTGTCCGACAATCTGGCCCACCGCTCCCGAAGCGGCGGAGATGAAGATGGTTTCGCCCTTTTTGGGAGCTCCGATTTCGTAGAGGGAGCTGTAGGCCGTCAAACCTGGCATGCCCAATGCTCCGATGAAGATTTTGGGGTCGAGGTTGTAAGGGTTGGAGAGGACGTGGTAGCCGTTGTTCTTGAGCTCCTCGGCCGTGATGATGCTGTATTCTTCAATACGGTTGCGAGGGGCTACGAGGATATCGCCGGACTTGAAGGCTAGGTTGTCGGATTTGATGACGGAGACAATGGCGCCGTTGTCGATGGGTTTTCCCAGGGTGAAGGCTGGCATGTAGGATTTTGTTGCTGGATCACGCATGCGGCCGCGTTGGTAGGGGTCGAATGAACAGTAGTGGACTTTGGCGGTGATTCCGTTGGAAGGAGGTGCTTGCTCAAGGTCGAATTCGCTGCTTTCGACTTTGAGGTGCTTGCCGGCTTCTGGCCAGCCGGTGGGCACTTCGGCGAAGATGAGAGCTTTGGAGGCGACCATGTTGGAGATATTCTTTGGATATTCTTTCAACAGGAGGGAGGGGGATGGAGGGGTAGATTCTGATAGAAAGTTGTTTATGATAGCACAGGAAACAGACCGAGAGAGGTGTCGATATATACTTTCCTCAATCCAGAGCTTGAGCTTGCTTTTAGTGATCAAGATTACCAACCCTCACACGACACTACGGCCGCAGAGCTTGCAAGCGGTGGAACATTCKAGCTGCGTTGAAGAAAACGAAGACATACCTCCTAGGGTCGGCGATGGCTCGGATTGCATCATAGTCCATCGGAGGTCTGCTATATGCAGAATGTGTGCCGGAAGCGAAAAGGGCAGGTCGTTGGTTGGTGGGAGGATCGGAGCCGACACCGATCCAGGCACTGCTTGTAGTGGTGGGTTGCTTGGAGTGAACTACTGTAGTGTGTGGTGATGGTAAATGTACGTCGTTGGCGAGGTATGGTTAGTTGCACATTGCACTGCTGWTGATGACCGAGCCTTGCATGTAGGGATAACGTTAGACGGGACGGGATGTGGAGGTGACCAAACCACAGGCGCCTTGTGACCATCTTGACAACCTCGTAATGGAGAGCTGTACTGTAGATTGCCGGATTGTGTGTTGAAGAGGCGAGATGGTTATTGTTCCTTCATCATTGTTTGGGACTCGGGAGTCCATCGTGGGGATGAATCTTCCCGCAGCCAGTCCCGCCCCGCCAAGCGAAGGCAGCGCGTCACGACTTCTCACCTACTTTAGCTTCCACGGCATGTCCAGCTTCATGTCGCCTCCAATGAATCACATTGATTCAACGTCGCAACGGATTATTTGATAAACGATGGTCGACGAAAAGACACCGCTGGAGCCTCCTCCGGCCTATGATGCCGACAGTGCCAATCATAATGCCACTCCAAATGCCCCTCCCCATGCTCAACGTCGGCCGCGCATGCCCATTCCTCTCGATCTTCCCGCTCTTCAGATGATTCGGGGAAAGCGCGTGATTCTCGCCTCGGCCTCCCCTCGTCGCCGACAGCTTCTCGCTCAGGTACGCTCTTCAACCCCAGGAAGCCGTCAACTTCGAAGCTCCACCAGCTGAGTAAGAGAGAGAGAATTGACAGACAGTCCTGATTGATACTTTGTCTTGATAGATTGGCCTCAGCAACGTCGAAGTCATTCCATCGACCCTCCCCGAAGATCAGTCCAAATCACTCGCTCCATTTGAATATGTCCTCCTCACCGCCGAGCAAAAAGCTCGGGACATCTACTCGACACACATCAACGATGCCGTAGAGCCGGCTCTGGTCATCGCCGCCGACACGGTCATTTCCACGGCAATGGGCCAGATCCTGGAGAAACCGCGCAGCGAGGCGCATCATTTCGAAATGCTCAAACATCTCCGCGATGGGAACAATGGATGGCACAAGGTCTTCACGGGAGTGGTGGTCATGGCTCCACTGGAGAGTCTGATGGATCCTGGATATGCAATGGAAACGCACGTCGAGGAGACGCAGGTCAAGTTTGACAACAGCATCACCGACGATTTGCTGTGGAGCTACGTGAGGACGCGGGRAGGGGCAGATAAAGCGGGCGGATATGGAATCCAAGGAACCGGGAGCATTTTGGTGGAGAAGATTGATGGCACCTTTGACAATGTCGTGGGTTTACCGTTGCGAGCGACCTTGCAGCTGATTGAAAAGGTCATTGTGGAGCCGGGCGTTCCTGAAGAGACGGAGTTGTAGATGATACGACGCATGGTCATGGTCATGATGTTACGAAAACCCGTGGAAAACAACACGTTATACGTTATAGAGAGGTTTTGGATACAAGTCAATCAAGACAGGAGCAGACTGGATTGCAAAGATACCTTAGGTCCCACTAGCCATGGTATGTAAGGTATCCGAGAAGCTGCTCTTCCCAAATCCCTCATCCGCGCTCTCCAAAGCATCAAAGCCATACATGTTCTGGCAAAACCGATAATCGGCATACGCCCAAGGAAAYGGCCGCTCCGCATCTCTCCAATCATGTTCGGCAAAGGCGCGATCCCGCCGTTCCTGCWCCTCGCCATCGAGCATGTGGTACAGATCCCGATTACTGCTCGCCAAATTCACCACCTTCGTCGCTCGCTCCTTCCTGACATGCTGGTAAAGCTGCAAAAGTTTGGGGATCGATGACTTGGCCTCCCCGCATCGGCAAAATAGACCCACAAGTCTTCCCAGAACAATTCCATCTTCCACGGCCATGGCCGCTCCGCTCGCTGCGTAGGGCACGCTAGGATGGCAGGAGTCGCCGAGAAGGGCGACGGACCCCTGGATTGGGTAAGTTGGCTGAAAGCATTCTCACTATCAAGATGTCTCGACTCACCCGCACCCAAGTGTCCAACTCCTCCATCTTCCAAATCTTCCATTTCAATGCACTATCCACCTTCCCGAGCAGAACTTGTAGTCTCGGATCCCAATCTTGGAAAATCTCCTTCATTTCCGCGAGGTCTCCAGATTGGCGAGATACATTTCCTGGGAGATTGTCTGGACAACTACAAACTTCATCATCAGCAACCCAATCCAATCGCAAGGCATGCAGAGCAGAGGATGGAGACTCACACCAACACCAAATTCGCCAACTCCCCGTTCCGAAGCGGGTACAACACCACATGCATCTTCGGACCCCACCAAATCGCCGAAGTCCTCCCCTCCGCAATCCCTCTGATAAATTCGTCCGCTTCGTTCTCCAGTACATGTCGGGGAAGAACGACTCGATACGCCAAATCTCCGGATTCTTCGGGTTTCTTCACATACCCCAACACAGCACTTCTCGCGGCGGAACGTAGCCCGTCCCCGCCAACTATCACGTCGGCTTGCATGTTCTCTCCGTTGGCCAGATTGACAGTCGCGGGAGCTTCGCAGGAGACTTGGATGACTTCCTTTCCGAGATGGATACTGGCTCCTAAACGGCGGGCTTCGGTGACGAGGACGCGTTGGTAATCGGCTCGGTGCATGACGCTTTGCTCATTCCATCAGCCGCACTTGATGTGTGTGTGAGAGAGATAGAGGGAGAACTGACTGTGAACTGTTCCCAAAAACATCTCGATTCCACCCATCATCAGGTCTCGAACTTATGACTTTCCCATCTTGCCAACGCAGAACATCATACCCACTTCTCTCCGTCATTCCCGCGGCGTAGAGTTGTGGAAGCAGGTGGAAGTGCTGCATGACTTTTGTTGCATTGGGCTGGGAATCGATAAATGCCAACTATCAGTATACATCCTCTACATCCTTTTTGCGTGGGAGAAACTTAACGTACAGGTAGTTGAATCCCTGCGCCGACCTAAGAAATGTCAGGACCTTCATTCTCGATATTATATATTGGAATGGACTGAAGGGATGTACTTCACTCAACTCCTCCATCTTCTCCAACATCACAACTTCGAGTCCTTMGCGACGGGCTTGTATTGCACATGCCAGTCCACCGAGTCCACAACCTATAATAATGACTTTGAGGGGTTCCTGCTTCGTCTCCTTCTTCTATATTAGTTTTGACGATTCCCATCTATATTTACGCGAGAAAGAAAGGAGGATATGAATCCGTGAGATGATTTTATACGTACCATTTGATTGTCCATTATTCCCGTTCCTTAACCAAGTTTTCAGAATCTTCCGAGTGTGCTTCGGTTGAATGACAAGTCAAAGAGAACTGGTATAAGCAATAGGATCTAACAGTACTCCATCGTGTATAGATATGTGATAGTTGAGAGAGTTTTCGCCACGCATCTCCCGTTGTGCTTTCCCGGGACCCCTACCCTACCTTACCTTTAAGGTTAAGTTATATACTTACTCGATTCGGCAAAGTGCCCTGTGTGTGAACTTTATAGATGAATGAAGACATGATCAGGGTCTGATGAGAAAGGGTGCATGAGCGGCCTGCTTTTAATCATACATTCATTGATATGCATTCGATTTCAAAATTTCGTTGGTATACATTGATCGATTGATTGATTGATTGATTGATTGATTGATTGATTGATTGATTGATTGATTGATTGATTGATTGATTGATTGATTGATTGATTGATTGATTGCTACAAAATCCCGTCGTATATATATGTATATATGTTCTTTTCTTCTGTGGTTGATAAGGTGGTTGTACTGTCGATAAGGTATTCAAAATTTCGCCCAAAAGGATCCAAATGTCCTGGGAGACTGACTGACTATATACAACGCTCAAAAATTCACAATCATTTCATCGTCGAAGGCCAACTAGTCCTCCATCAGTAGGCTACCTCAATGATACAAGGTATGAGCATGCTTGTATCGATCGGTCAGTCGCTTCCCTGACTGAAATGGAACAGTCTCGAATTCCGCAACTTAATCTTCGCCGTGGTGTTACCAGCACAAAGATCGCTGCCCGCGAGACCCACAGTCGGGTAGTAGATCCTCGGCAAGCCATTGGACATGGGAACTGCCAGAGTTCCGGTCGCAGACGTGAGGGTATTGCACGTCAAGAGTTCAGTGACTTGTACACCATCATCATAGCCGCTTTCAGGCACCGATAAGGTGGAGTTGGCTCCGCTCTCGCCGAGGGTGGAGAGGACGGTGAGCATGGCTCCTTTGCGCATTGCAATGGTGGACGTGTCGGTGTAGACGGGGTAGTTCTGGTAGGTGAGATAGGTGGTATCGTCGGATATGGCATTTTTCCGGATGGCGTTCATGCTCTTGATGAAGAGGTAGAGCTCGGCGTTGGTGTTGTAGCCGGAGAACCACAGAGCTTCACGGTTCCAAGGATAACTGACTCCGCCGACGGAATTGTAATGCTGCTCTTGGCCTTGATAGATGATGGGGATGCCATCGGTAAGCATGGTGAAGGCAATGACATTCTTCGCCAGTGCCCAATCGCCCGTCCGTTGGGCGAAACGAGGTTGGTCGTGGTTTTCGGAAAAGGTACCGAGTACAGAGGTATCCTTACACGAACCCGCTTTGAGGACGCTGACGGCATCTGCCAATGCCGCGATGGTACCTGTGCCGCTGAAGGCTTCCACAAGTGGTTGGTAGCTGCAGGTGCATCTTTGTCAGCCCTTCCCGCTCCCACAGGTACGAAAAGAGGTACTTATACTAACATCATGTAGTTGAACACTCCGGGGACATAATCCTGGTATCCGCAAACAAAGTCGTTGTCGATGATGTACACTTCTCCTAACGAGTAGATGTCGTTGGCGGCGGCCTGGAAACCTGCCCAGAAGTTTTTGCTGACTTGCATGAGCGAGTCGATACGAAGACCGTCGATGGAGTAGGTGGAAATGATGTCAGAGACCCAGGAATTCCACACGGCTTGCACCTCAGCATCTTCTGTCCGGAGGTCAGGAAGTGGTACGGTGGTGCTGCCCATCCAGCATTGCTCAACTTGGCTCTGATAATATGTGAGCACGGCTACATCAGCGTAGTAGACATGATCATCAGACATACCGTATTCTGGTAGTCGTTGTAGTCAATGGAGCAATAGCTGTGGTAGTGGTCCTGCGAATTGAATGGTACCATCACGCTGTAGTCGACATTGGCAGGCGCCGCGAGAGCCGCATAATGATTCGTCACAACATCTACCATGAGATACTGTTGATGTAAGCATGCGTTGGCAACGACCTCAATCACCTGCTGCTTACCATATCACGGGAATGTAGCGCTGCAGCCAGTGCCTGGAGGTCTGATTGAGTCCCGAAATGATGATTAACAGTGGTGATATCCGTCTGCCAGTATCCGTGATAGGAAGATCCGTCGCCACTGTTGCCCTCAAGTTGAGTGGTGATGGGTGAGATCCACACAGCATCGAACCCCATGCCTTGAATGTAATCGAGACGGTTGATGAGACCTGCCCACGAGCCGCCGCAATACAGACCGTCTCCGGTGTCACAAGTCTGGGTCGTGGAACCATTGGTGAGCGCAAAACGATCTGTCATGACCTGATAGATTGATCTGCTTCGCCATGAGTCCGCTCCAGCCGCATCAGCAGTGTGGAGGATCGCCAGGCCGAGCACAATAAAAATGCTCAGTAAATGCATGATGGTTTGGGAAAGGATGATTGTGAACGAATAGGGCAGAGTTTCCAAGCGGATTGTGGGTTGGTTGTTGGTATTGTTTGGTGTGAATGGTTGCAGTGAGGCGCAAAGGTGACAGGTAGGTAGGTCTACGCTCGTGACAGTGAGACAAACAACAATAAGAATGATACTTCTTCAGTATTCATGTGGTGCGCGCATGAAACTCTTTATGCTAGAGCTAAACGGCATGCACCATCGCCGTGCGCTTTCTGTCGAGCGCATGGCAACGTCACAAGGCGGAAACATGAACCATCCTTCGGCGCCCAAGCCCGAATCAGAAGGGAAGAAAGTGGTAAGAGAGGAGGAATGCCGACGGAAGGATTCGTAGGTCGTGCGCACAAGGACGACCACGCGCGCACATGGTTTCGCAGCAAACCGCCACGCAGGGGGAAGCCGAGGCCAATAGCACACATGCTCGGTGAATGGTACCAGTGGCGTAGAAGATGTTAGCTCAGCCGCGCCTGCGACATATCGGAGAGCCCAACGCAGGACGCTTGATGTTGCAGCATGTTGCAGGCCGTGCATGAACCAGGACATTCTTTCATCTGGGTTGAACCATGTGGTCGTTGMGCGACGGCAAAAATTTCCACCATGAGCAGGTCAAAGGTCGGCACGGGCGGTACAAGCTGCGAATTCACTGGACCACGCTCCTCGAGAGCTATCAATGGCGTTGCGGAGGGGCCACTACTTGGGCTGTATGTTGCAGTGGCTAATGGTCACACTCTTTGTCTGCCTTACCAGATCGTACCAGCGCGACCATGCACTCAGCATGTTGTGAGCATCGTCGCTCGGAGCTTTGGACCTGCAAGAGGCTACCACGGGAGGAGGAAATTTTCGGTGGAGTTCAGTCTCATTGTCCGGGCGTCAGGTGTGTCGTAATGTAGCAGCTGACAGCATGTGTAGTAGTGCCATTGAGATGTAGTGTGTAAGAGGCTGTGGAGCCGATGCACTTTCCAAGCAATTTCAGCTGTTTTCCCGGCCATGGCACCGGCTAAAATGTATACTACCAAGGGGCCAGAGAAAAGTACGGGGGATCGTCTGTCTGCTGGGATGCACACCAGCATGGAGGAAGGCTCCGGGACGAACTGCTGTTGGCGCCCGCATGCTTACCGCAACGTAAGACTCTGCAAGTCGATGGCCTTCCTGCGCGGTATTGTCAKCAACTGGATGCCTTGTCCTGCCGGGATGAAGGCGGCCGACGTAGCATCGCCTCTTGCTTTGCGAGACGACCGGCACAGTCGCTATAGCTAGCTGCAGGTGAACGAGCGAAGAAGTACACTCATGACCGATCCGGATCCCTGCGAAATAGTGGGCGCGAGCATCAAAAGAGACGCGCAAACCAATCGCAAGCTCTGAACAGCGCGTGTGTGTGTGTGTGATGAGAGTGCTGCTAGGTAAGAGGTGCCAGCAAACCCGCTTTCGCGTAGTTGCACCTTACATAGCACATCGATGATCCATCTGGTGTAGATMKSKGKG